TAAATGAAACAACTTCATCAAAAAAAGTATTATATGAAACAATTTTACAAGATTAAACAATTTCATGAAAAAAATTCATAAGATTAAACAATGAAATCGACGGATGAAGGTGGTTTGCACGGTTTATACAAATTGGGTATTACCTTTAGCCTTGAATTCAAAGGATAAGTTACACTTTGTGGATGGTTCTATTGAAGCTCCATTCAAGGAAGTGGATCTTCAGTCTTATGCAACATGGTCAAGATGCAATGACAAGGTTCAATCTTGGATCGTTAATACTAAGTCAAGAAATTGTTGATAGCATCATTTACTATTCTACAATTTCTGAAGTTTGGGAAGATCTCGTTGAGAGATTTTCACAAGGTAATGCACCTCGGGTTTTTGAGAGTCAACAAGACATTGTGTTATCAAGCCAAGAGCATATGTCAATCGCAACCTATCACACTAAGTTGAAAGGTTTATTGGATGAACTAGCCTCTTATTCGTAGTAATGAATCAGCATGAACCTGATCGATGCAGTTCTTAATGGGTTTGAATGAGACATACAATGCAATTGATGAGTCCTTTGCCAATTGTGAAAAAGGCATACAACGACTTCTCTCAAGAGGAAAAGCAACGGTCTAGCTCCATCATTCATAACTTCAGCGAGATTGGAGGAGGTACAGTCATGGCCCTACGAGATACTACTTCCACCAGAACAGATTCGAGAGGTGCTAGGTTACAGCAAGAACATCGTCAAGGATTAGAGAGAGGGCGACCAATTTGTACCCATTGCAATGAGAAAAAGCATTGATTAGGTACCCACCTGGTCAACCAAAGGCAAAGCAACATCCATAAAGGCAATAGCAAGGGAATGGATCAAGTTCAAACAATTCTAAAAAAAAAATTCAAAGTAGTTGCTACTCAGGTGGAGTTTTAGATGGAGAGAGTAGACAAACTTTACTAAGATAGTAGCTCAATTCATGGCTACTGTTATAAAGGCCAACAACTAAATTCAAGCTTCTACTCCTAAGGCCAATATGGCAACAAAACTGGCTCAACCAGGTTTGTTTCGAATTCACAATTGGAGCGTTGAAATGCTGCAACGGACTTCATTACTTTCATTTCAATTGTTGAATAAGTCATAAAAATGGTTCATCCATTTTATTACCTAATGGGGAGTATATTAAGATTGATAATAAGGGGTCCTCACCTGCGAACGTGGTCTATTATCTTCATGATCTCTTATTTGTGTGTCGCTTTAAATTTGATTTAATGTTTGTTAGCCATTTGACAAGGGATTTGAGTTGTTCAATAACATTCTTTCCTTATTAGTGTATTTTGCAGGATCAGGCTACGAAGAAGACGATCGGTTTGGGTAAAGAGCGGAATGAGTATATTATTTGGTAGCTTTAGCGTCAAGAAACCTACTCTACCGTTTACCTATACCACATCAACCTCACCAATCCGCTAGTAACCTAGCCATTTCATCCTCTTAAAATTTTCAGTTGAACTGAATAAAGTTTGCCATGTGTGTCCTTTGGCAAAGCAAAGTCGCCTTCCGTTTCCATACTAGTACCATTTCATCAACCCGACAGTTTGAACTTTTTTGATAGGGAGGGGGAGACCCCTCCAGATCAAGATAAAACACTAAAACGCTAAAACAACAACAATGAAGCGCTCGGGTAGGAGGAAACCTCAACTACCAGAATCCAAGGTACCCCGAGGGGAAAGAAAGAGGGAGACAAAGAAGGAGGACGACAAAAAAGAGGGAAAAGGAGAGAAAGAAGAAAGGGAGAAGAAGAGAAGAGGGAAGAGAAAGAAAGAAAGAGAAGGGGAGAGAGAGGAAGAAAGAGAGACAGAAAAAGAAGCCAACCACAAGGAAAGGGCCCAGCCAAGCCAAGACCGGGAAACAAACGGGGGACACCACAAGGGCAGGAGAAGGGGCCTAAAACAGGCACACCCTAGACCGCACCAAGAAAAACAGGAGAGCAAAGGAGCTCACACAAACAGACAGACATCACAAAAGAACAAACAGTTAAGGAAGGTTCCAGGCAAGCCGAGCCCGGACAACATTGGGGGAGGGCTTGAAAGTCAGGCTGAGGAGCCTGGACCGGACATCATCAATAATTGTCTTACCCACCGTAATATGCGATCTTCTTTTATTTTTGAAGATGCGATTATTTCTCTCTTGCCACAGGTGGTAGACGGTCCCAGCAAGCACTAAACGACGAATGATAGACCAAATGGTCTTTCCTTTGGTGGCTTGTTGGAACATACCAATAATATCAGCCCAGTTATCCAGGACACCATTGAGGTTCAGCTTAGCCTTTAAGCCATTCCAAACCAGATTAGGAAACGGGCACTCAAAGAAGAGATAGAATGTGAATCAGGCCCGTTATGACAGAACGCACAGGCCAGATCGGAATGGGCCTCCCATAACAGAAGCTTATCGTGCGTCTTGAGACGCTGCTTGAGAGCAACCCACAGAATGAAAGCATGTCTGGGAATGCTTTGAGAGAACCAGACTAAATGATGCCAAGGGACATCAGGCTCATTGGGACGGAGGGAGAGCCAGACCTCATGAACAGAGAACGGAGTAAGTCGGCCACCCCTCGTTCTCCAAAGGAGTTTATCAGGGGTAGTCGGAGAAAGGACGGGGAGGGGAGAATCATGGATGGAGGGGTTAGAATTATCCCTCAGGATAGGACAAGTCTAATTACCCTGAGATATGATATCTTTGACAGAGGCAGAGAGAGAAAGATTGGAATTAGAATATTGCGAGACGAAATATGCCGGTAGAGGGGGCCAGCAGGGTGCCAGTTATCATACCAAGCAGACGTGGAAGCGCCATCACCAATCTGGGAGACAATGAAGTCTCTTATCTTTTCCCTCATACCCAGGATCTTCCTCCAGCCCCAACCAACATCACTGCGAATCGGGGCATCCCAGAAGTTACAATCTTTTCAGCCTGTAGGAGTGGATCCATTTAACCCATAGCGAATCCCTATTGGTAAGGATTCGCCAAGTGTGGGAGGCCATGCGGGCAAGATTCCAGCTTGCAAGGCTCTTTATACCAAGCCCACCTTGAGATTTGGGGAGACAGACTGTCTTCCAGGAGACTTTTGCTTTCCCCCTTTTAAGCTCACCATGGCACCAGAGAAAACCCCGCATGAGCTGCTCAATCTCCTTGGATATGGAAATCGGAAGCACGAAAATAGAGGCCYAATAGATTTGCATAGAGGACAGGACCGAGAGAATGAGCTGCAATCTACCGGCAAAAGAGAAGGACTTATTCTTCCAGTCATTGAGTCTGGATTTGACCTTGTCAACAAGGCCCTTACAGTCTTCATTGTGATATATGGGACCACTATCTACAACCTTCTCTTAACATGATTTTTCCCGTTTTACTTGGACTAATGCGACATAAAACGAAACACAACAACTCGTCAAACAGTTCTTCACTTACTTTCTCACAAAATCCGACTCTAAGATCAAAACCTTTAGAAGAGATAACGGTAATGAATTCATCTCACTTCGTTCTTTTTTACAAGATAATGGAGTTATCTTTCAAACCTCATGTGTTTACAACCCCCCCAGCAAATGGAGTCGTGGAGCGCAAACACCATCAAATTATCCAAGTTGCTCACGCTTTAAAATTCCAAGATCATCTACCCCTCCTACCTTTTAGGGAGAATGTGCTTTGACGACTGTGCATATCATTAACTGTTTGCCGACACCTATTCTCCATCATAGAACTCCATCTAAACTCTTATACTCTAAACCTCCTTCATTTTCATATCTTCGAGCATTTGGATGCGTAGCATATGTTGAGCGTTAATATATCTCAGTGTGTCAAGGCCAAATATTACTTATATGGTGCATGTATTGAGTAGGTTTATTCATCAGCCTAGAAGGCAGCTTTACATGTTGTGTGTTACTTGTAGTCTGCTCCTGGCCAAGGATTGTTCTCCTCCGCCAATAGTGACTTGAAGCTTAGGGCTTTCAATGATTCAGATTGGTTAGAATGGTCGCTTACAAGGAGATCTACCATAGGGTATTGTGTGTTTTTGGGACCAGCCTTGATTGATCTCATGGAGATCGAAGCGACAAAAGCATCTTTTTCTTCAGCTGAGCCAGAGTTTGTGCAATGGCTGGCGCATGTTGTGAGTTGACATGGTTGCATAGCTTGCATAACGATTTTGGCATCTTACATCCTAAGGCAGTTTCGCTATATTGGGATGACAAAACAACTATACACATAGCCAGCAATCGAGTGTTACATGAATGCGAGACATAGAAAATGGACTACCGTTACATAAGAAACAAGATACAAGATGGCTCGCTGGAGGCAACGTTTGTGACGTCTACGAATCAGTTAGCGGGTATGTTAACTACGCCTCTTGGCAAAGAGATTTTCATTCCTATGATTCACAAGTTGGGAGTGCAAAACATCCACTCTCCAACTTGAGGGGGAATGTTATCTTTTTTCTAGTAGGAAAGTATGGATTGTCTAGGTTTCCTAATTCTCTGGATGTGTATAGTTGTAGCTTTTGTACATATATTCCGTAGCTGTCTATACGAAAATCAGTTCAGTCCTGAATCATATTCTCCATATTTCATTGTTGTGTTTATAAATTTATCCCAATTCGAATAACATATGACTAAACGAGCATGGATATCAACTTTAAATTTCAGATGTTAGTTTTGTCGATCAAATTTGCTCCACAATTAGTTTAAAGGAGGGAATGTTGAGTAACCACTTAGACTGCTTGGTCTTTTAGTCTGCGAATAAACAGGAGTAGGAATAGGTCTTTTTGTTTTAGTCTGTTCCTTTATTTCAGCAAGTATCTGTTTCCTTTATTTCAGCAAGTATCTGTTTACATGTAAGGCTATATAAAGCTATCTAGTTTATCAATAAAAAACCATCGAAAGCATTCTGGGTATTCCCATTATTCTTCTTTATATAACAGTACTGTTATAGATTTAGTAACATAGGTATCACCTATTTGTTTCTTTTCATTATTTCGAAAGGTTTAAAGTACATAGAAGTATATTATCATACCTTTCCGGAAGGACAAACTAACTGATGGAACTTAGTGATCTTATCACCCATCTCTTTACTTGCCTGATAAGTCAACCACAAGAAAAAATAATCCAGGGAATTCAGAAAAGGAAAAGCTAAAAAAATAAAAATAAATAAAGTACTGAGGGTTGGAATATATGTGTGTGTGCATAGAGAGAGAGACAGAGAAGAGGGATTAATTAAAAAGATCATACCATAAAAGCTGGCAAAGGAAATTCTTTTGCATCCTCTGGTGTATTTGCGGATGATGGGAGATTCCTGCTGCTGTTTCCCACCACTTCTGATGTTATCATCTGCTAATTATGTAAAAAAAACATTCAGAAAGGAGAAAAAGGGTAGGAAAGAAGAAAAAATAAGAACATGAAATTGTACATTTGCTTTAGAAGTAACGCATGATGAAGATGATTCAAGTATAAAAGGTGGAGAAAAGCTTGACTGAATATCACTTTCTACTTGCTCCCACTTTTGGATGCTAGCACTGCCACTAATTCTGCATAAAAATCACATTCATATCATATACTTAGATTTGTGCACTTGCTTGTTTCTGTAGGAAGGATATAATGCATGTAGAAATAATTTGATAATAAATTGTAATTGTATTTTCTTTCTTCTTTATTTTTTGTGTTTTCTTCTTTTGTCATTTCTTTCCTATTAGGGTAATATTTGAAAATAAGTACGTAATTTTAAAGAAATGGAATGATAATGCAGAAGTAGAAAATATTACATAAAAACAATGACTTAGGGGGTGTTTGGGTAAGCTTATTTAAAACAACTTATACTTTTTTGTAAAAGTGCTTATTAACTTATGCGGTATCAAACTGGAGTTTTGTAAAAAGTGTTTGGATTAGCTTATAGCGGTACCAAAATGCAAAATGACCAAAAAGGACAGCTCATTTTTAGGTTATATTTGAAACCTTAGAATCGTTGGAAGTTGGTTGAAGAAAAAGGGTTCATATTTGAAACCCTAGAATCGAAGGAAGAAGCAGGAAGAAGGAAGAAGCAGGAAGAAGGAAGAAGAAGGAAGAAGCAGGAAGCGAAGGAAGAAGCAGGAAGAAGGAAGAAGGAAGAAGGAAGAAGCAGGAAGCGAAGGAAGAAGCAGGAAGAAGGAAGAAGGAAGAAGCAGGAAGCGAAGGAAGAAGCAGGAAGCGAAGGAAGAATCAGGTATATCTTCTACCCTATACCAAAATGCAAAGCGAAGGAAGAAGCAGGAAGCCGGCGATGAGAAACCAGAGGACTTGCCGGCGATGAGAGGG